AAAGGAAGGTCCTTTTGCGTGTATCATCCACTGCTTCTAAATGGCACATACTTCTGATAGAAAATCTGCAGAGGGTCTCTAGAGAACTGTAATAACTGAACACATTTCTGAGGAAGAATTTTTCCAAAAGTGTTCTCTGCCTTCACCCCTTTGTCCAAAGTGTACCTGACATATATTCAACTGTACTTTCTTAAGTTCTTTTGAAGTCACTAGCCTAGCATTTCAGAAGTGACTGGTATAGAATGCTATTTAATGTTTGCCTTTCAGGGACTTCTTTATTGAAAATCTGCTCTTGGCTGTTCTCCTCTTTTGTGGTAAATACATATTTGTAGCCCCTAAAGAATGTTAGGCTTCAGCAAGCCTTACCTGCAGAAGCGGCTTTCAACTGAAGGAAAGAAAAACTCAGAGGACCCACTCACATTTGGCTGATTATTCAAATGTATCTCTTGTCATTCCCTGTCTAAATCTAGGTGACAAGAATTCAGCCATCGCTAATATAAATAAATCGAAGCTGTGCACGTCTCCTGCGTGCTACATGTGCCGACAGTAGGATATAAATAATACAGTACTCCTGTAACAGTAATATTGCATACCGAGATCTTGCTGAGAGTTGAATTTCTGCACCTTCCTCTCCCTCCTCCCCTCCACAGTGGCAAAAGATGTGACTGAGAGGGGAGAATAGTTAGGTAGGAACTGATAACAGGGGAGCACCACGCAGTCTTAGTTCTGTGGTGTTTCGTCAAGAAAATGGAGAAGAAACAGAGAAGGCACAAGTGGAGAAGACTGAAAAGCAAAGCAAGAGAGGCTGACTCTGCTTCAAGCCTGATCTTTTTTTTCTTATGGTGTTTTTTTTTATGTTGTTCCAAGAAAGAATGAGCCCAGGGGAGGCTGCGCAACTGTTTCCTCCTCTCTGAAAGAGACCAATGCGCTCAAGAGGAGAAATGATGTTTCATTCTCCTCTTCCAATGAAAAGTCTCCAAAAGCTTAGATTTTTGCCCTAAAATAGCATCATACCAAACAAGTTTATATAAGGGCCATACCGGAACAAGCTGTTCTCTCCCCTGTTTTTTGTTTTTTTACTTTTAAAGCTAGGAAAAACATTTCGAGGAGGGCTCACAGAGAAGGAAGTGCCCCCAATGCCGCTTTTTTTTTTTTTTTTTGAGATTCCCATGATGGCAGTGACTCTATGGCAAGGGCTCTCCAAACTTGGCAACTTTAAGACTTGTGGACATATATCTGGCTGGAGAATTCTGGGAGTTGAAGTCCACAAGTCTTCAAGTTGCCACGTTTGGAGACCTCTGCTCTATGGGGAGAGAAGGCTCCCTGAAGAAGCCTTTAAAACTTTCCCAGGTTCCCTGACCACAGCCAGCCCCTCTCTTGCCTTCACCTCACCTGCGCTTGTATTCATCCCGTTCCCTCTTCACCTTGGCCAGGACATTGTAGAGAGCCCGGATTTCAGGGGTGATGGTGTCTATCTGCACCCCAACTCCATCCGGGTGCATCCAGGAGACTCCAGGCCCCTGAACTACGGTAGTCTCTAGGCCTGGCCCCAGACGGCGAGCCTGGGAGAACGACCAGATGGTCCCGGGCAGGAAACGGGAGGAGGCAGAGAAAGCGCTGCTGGGGAAAGAGGGAGACTGGCAAGAAGTCGGGGTGAGCGGTGCTCCTGGGTGGTGGCAACTGGGGGAAAGCGGCACCCTCGACGTGCTGCTGCCCAGTCCCACCGGCCGGCTGCCGCCGCTAGCCCCGCTGGTCAGGGAGAGTCCCAGCGGGCGGATGGGGCTGATGAAACCGGTCTGGACGGCTTGGTCCCGGCGCTGCAGGCTGCCCCGACGGGCCCCCCCTTCCTCCAGGGCCTGCTGGAGCTGCTTCTCCAGCTGCCGATTGCGGCGCTCCAACTCGTGCACCTTGGCCAGGAAGCATCGGAAGCGGAGGTTGAGGGTCTTCAGCACGTTGATGTTGGAGCCCAGGTCGTTGCGGAGGGCCATGGCGGCCGGCGGCGCCGGGAAGGAAGACCCGGCGGCGAGGGAAGCCGGCGGGGCCAGTTCCCCGTCGAGCGAGTCCCCCTGGGGCTCGTGGGGAAGAAAAAGGAGGCCCGGCAGCTGCTGCCGTTGGCGCTGCTCGGGGCCCGCCGCTGCCCCCAAGCCCTGCTGCTCCTGCTGCAGGAGGAAGAGGTTTGGGCCGAATAACGGGTTCATGGCTCCGCCAGCCGTCCCGCAGCAGCGACAGGGAAGGGGGAAGCGGCCGCTGGGCGGAGAGGCGCAGCCCCGGCAGCCAATCCCCGCCGCCCGCCGCGGAAGAGGGGCGGGGAGGAGCCCCGCGCTGCGGAGGGAGGGATGCGGCGCTGGACAAGAGAGGACGGTGCGGCGTCCTGCGGGAGGCGGGATGCGCGCCCCCACGGACGGCGGGTTGAGGCGACCGCTCCCTGGCCCGCCTGGGCTGGCTCTGAGGCCGCGGCTGCGGTTGCCACCGAGGATCCGGGTTGCAGCTTCTCTCCCCGCAGCTAAAGCGTCGGAAAATGAATTGCTCGACCCGTCAGACAAAGCAGGAGGGTCCGCCTGGGGTCCCCCCCCCCGCTTTTCTTCTTCTTTTACCGCCTACCGTTGTTTTGCATCATCCCCTTTAGCTCGCCTTGGAGATGAGAAGGCTGGGCGAGTCTAGACCCCTAAATAGCGACAAAAGGTGCTGAACGGACGTGCTGCTGACCCTATCCAAAACCAACCGAGCAAGCCTTTGCCAGCGACCGAGATCGTTTACACGCTGAAAAGCAGAAAACACCAAATGGAACAGATGACTCCCCTGTTAACCTTAGTTTCTGAACCTTTTGAAGCCAGTAACCTAGCATTTCAGAGGTGAATGAATGAAAAGAAAGCTATGTAATGGTTGCCTTTCAGGGACTTCTTTATTTATTGAAAATCTGCTCCTGGCGGTTTTCCATTAAGTGTGGTAGAGACATATTTGTTGCCTGTAAAGAAAGTTAGGTTTCATCAAGTCCCACCTGCAAAAACTGTTTCCAACTGAACAAAAGAAAAAGTCAGAGTCAAAAACACACTAACATTTGGCTGATTTCTTCAAATGTATCTCTTGTCATTCCCTGCACCTGAATCTTGCTCTCCAAATAGAGCATGAGATTTGGCATAAAAATCACAGCAGCATCAGCAGGCATTAAGAGCTGCAATTGCAATGGCTCACTTTAGGCAGACTTAGCGGTAAGTAGCTTGATGATGATTTATTTTAACATATAAAAATCATAAGGACACCTGCGAATCTCCACAGAGCAGCTTTCTGTCCAAACTGTTTAACTTGTTCACCCATTATCTGAATCTGGGGGCGAACTGTGGAATATACATTTGGAAGGAATACTAATTTGTTCAGTATAGTATAATCCTGTGAAAAAGACCCCAAAAGATACCTACTAATGAAAAAAATATATCTTTGCACGTTATTGACAAGCATATTGACCACATTCCTAATGTCCAAACAAATTGCTTTCCTTAAAAGGAATTGAAAGACCAGCACGATCTGAAACAAAATGGGGCCCTGTATATTTACCTCCAGTCAGATGGTTTCCACTTTTCAGCCTTCTTTCCAGCTGCTCAGTTCACACTCATTTTGTATTCTGGAATTCACACAACATTCTGTGGTTTCAGCAGTTAAGTTCCCGTACTTTGCAGGGGGACAAGCCTTCTTGGGCTTCTGCTCAAATTCACTCCAGCTTACCAAATACCTGGTTCCATTTTGGCTCCCATCTTGTCCACATTCCCTGCTATTAGGGCAGGCATTAAAATCCAGACTATTCTAAAGTAGAGAGTACTTCTAAGGTACTCTTGCCCTGTTGCACTCTCTCCCCCTCATCATATTTGTGTGTGTGAGAGAGAGGTGGGGGGAGGGAGAGATTTCCAAATATTCCATCACATTTTTACCTCATGAGGAAATACCTTCATGAGGAAATGCCTCATGAAGATCTTGCAGAATAAATAAGCACACTTTTCAGAAACAAGAGTTGTGCAGTATCTTGTACAGTTTTTCATAACATGGGTATGCCCATGTTTGTTTTGTGTGGGAATCCTTTTACATTTCAAAAGAGCAACAAATTGCTATGTTCAAGAAAAAAAATATTGATCCAAAGACATTTGTCACTCAAATTCTGCAGCCTTAAGCAATACAAATTTGCTAGGTTTTATTGAGCAGGTCAAATTCATTCTTAATTTTTTGTTATTATATGTTTCTGTTCAGGAACAACTTGGTAGTATTCCTAGGATCCCTTCAAATTAAATGTACTTGCTTTACTTTCCCACACAAAAACGCTGAGACATACCATACCGGTAGATAGGCAGCAAATGTCCTGGCAGGTTTTCAAGCCCCAGACCTTCTGACTAGGCACACATTAGCTGAGAGTGCTTTAAGAAGACGCCCAGGGCAGGAAACCTCACCATCAGGACCACTTCTGAAAATAGCCTCATCTATTGGATTTTTGGAGAGCAGCAAGATAGATCAGGGCTTCAGCTACAGCGCTTTATCCTTACTGGTTAGATTTATTCTCTTTGCCCTTTCTCTAAGAGCTCCAGGCACCCTGTACAGCAGTTCTCCCTTTATTTTATTCCCCATGATCATGTTAAAAAGGCTGGACTGGGAGGAAGTGTGGATTAAGACTTGTCCAACATTGTAACACTAAACCATGTTGCACCTGTGTGCAATTAAGATTAAATTACAGTCTTTTGTTTTTAAAATTCCATATACGAAATTTGCAACTTTTCAAATCTAAACCCACCATCCCAGAAAGCAACCAGGAACCAATTAAATTGGTTTATGATTCAATGAAGTCAAATTATGCTCCGCATAAAGTTGTGCGTGCTTGCTTGCAACGTGTATTAGCCTTCTCCAAAATTCTTCCAAGAATTTTTAAAGCTTTTGCCAGCCCCAGATAACAAGCCTGTTTATTAATCATTGCATAGCCCCATGTGTCACAGGGGACAAGGAAGTGTTATTCAGACAGATCATGAGATCAAGGAAATTTTTAATGACAGGTAGGGGTCTCATACAAATAGTCTCTGCCCTTCAACAGGCTAAAAATAAATGAAACACCTGAAGTGCAAAGGGGAAATGCCTTCTGCACGAGTCTTGCCAGGACAAGTTATCTTGGTAGTCAAGATCTCCCAACAGTCACCCCAGAATTGCCAGCAATTATTCCATGGTGTATGAAACCTAACAGCCCCCTTCTACTGGGGGTTTCGTTGTACCCCGCCTTTTTTTCTGGGAGTTGATTTAGCCCTTAGTCCTCCAGGAGAGGGCCTAGCAGCATTCAAGAGTCTGGACTTCTTCTGAAAATTGCTTTTCTTGGAGGCAACAAGCAGTTTCTTCTTTTTATTAGCATTCAATTCTCCTTTAGTCTCCTTCCTGCCTGCAATTGCAGCTGAAAGCTCTTGCTTTGAAGCCGGCTGCTGATTGGCTTTACTTTCTGGACCTTTTTTCTTTTTAGATGGAGGTTCAGTTGGAGCTGGAGCAGATCCATCTTTTACTGCTTGCGTTGTTAGCTCCTCACTGGGCACTTCATCTAGACGTTAAAAAATAAAAGTTAGATTAGAAGCAGCCATCAGATTACGACATCTCCCGTTTTTAATTAGTTTCAGGTTTTAACATCTTTAACAGAAAATTTCTGGGTCCCAATTATTTCTAAAGGTTTTGAGAAGAGGCGGTACAAACCCAATTCTCATTTTAATTCAAACTGTACCTTCCTCACTGCTATTAGAACAAAGTATTAGGGTGTTCAAACCACACAATAATGTACATTTGATTAATTTACTTTAAGAGTTAGCTCCACTGGAACATGTTTGTAAAATGTCAAATTCATTTAGACATATTATTGTAAAGGTGTGTAGCATTCGGGTCTAATGGCTTTGGATCCAAAAAGGCATCCTTGGCCTACATTGCAAAGGAGCTTTTTCTGGCCCTGCACAGCTTCATGGACTACTTGTCTGAGTTAAACATGTCTCCATGTTGCCTGTCTCCATAGGTGTGTATCTCAACCCAAATATACCAACCACTCTGGAGAGCATCTACTTGTGACATCTAACAGAAACAACAGATAGTGAGATTCACATTCTCCCCAACATATTTAATTTTCTCTTTGGTTTCTATTCTTTAGCCATTTCCCCAGCAATTATTTAGGTATTGTTCAAAATAAAGGTTTATTATTCAGCTAAATATTCTGTGGATAGCAAGATGCAGGGTAATCCAGCAAGGTAGTATATTCTAGTTGAAGATGTTAATTCATTTCCAGGTTTATGATTCCTGTTGGGTGTTGTTAACAAGGTTTCTGAAAAAGGCAAGCTCTCAGATTCATTACCTTTCAGAGGTTTAGGAATGGCATTGGAAAATTTTTTCAATTTGGCCACAAAAAACCCATCCATATTGTGGGTATGCGGATAGAAACGGCGTGTGGATTTCAAGGAAGGATGGAAACGACGCTCCCTAAACCTAGACAAATAAATGCAAAGAAAAAGTGATGCATTTCCAATATCCGAAGCCTTTGAGCGAATGTCCACTGCCCCACCCCATTTTTCAGAATTAAGAGGTACAAACCGGGTAAATCCTTCTTTGCCAAAGTCCAGACCCGTTGGTACCAAGCGGACGTTGCGCTTCTTCAGGGCATAATCCACCACCCACTCGTTCTCTTCTACCTGTCACCAGAGCACAGGCAGTCAGGTTGGTCAACGTCTCCAGCAGAACGAAAGTGTCAGTGGAGACAGAGAATAAAACAGGCACCTACCATGACTGAACAAGTACAGTACACAATGTATCCCCCAGTCTCAGAGGTTGCGTTAACAGAGTCAATGGCACTGAGGATCAACTCCTTCTGCAGGTGAGCACAGCGCAAAATGTCCTTTTCATCCTGAAAAAAGACAGGAAGATGAATGTTAATAGAAACAAATCTCAGTACTTTTTTTAAAAGGGAGGATTACAAACTTTCCACCAGGAGACAGATGGGGGACTGAACCCTGTACTTTTCTGCATTTTTCAGTCAACAAATGTGGAAAGAAGAGGATCGCATGGATAGTGCTCATAGTTGGGAAATTGCTTTCTGGAGATGTTGCTAAAGAATTTAGTGAAATTATTCATTTTGCCAGAGCTTGTGTTGTTGTTTTTTTAAATTTATTTGACTTCTATAGCTACTCATCTCAACAAGTAACTCAAACCAGTTATTTTCAGACTACTACTTCAAAAATAAAATAAAATTTTCTGCTCTTTTGGTTGCCTTTGTTCATTCAGCATACTGGCATACTCTTTGAACCTGTTAAAACTAGTCTTATTCAGCAATATACATTTCATTATCAAGGTTGTAAATATACTCCAGAGATCCACAAGAGTTCAGACTATTCCACAACTTATTTGAATTTCTCTTTGAACTTTTTCTTTGAACTAATTTCATTTATACGCCAGACCTTAACCAACCCAGTGTGGATATTTCACACTGTTTAATTCCATGATCAATTCTTCCAGAGGACAGATCTAGCCAAACATTTTAACCAGATGAAACCAGTCAGTATGCTTATATCATAAATCTCTCACTTCTTTCAGATATCCTTAAAGAGGCACCTCGGTTGAGTTTGTAGCAATTTATGAGAAGGAAGATGTATCATTCTGAGCTACTCCGTGCGCCCATTCCGATACTGCTGTGTTTCATGCAGTGAGAATGAATAAATTTACCTTATTAGTTTTGACTGTGGGGTCCTTTGAAATAACACCAGTACCACTGCAGGGAGCATCAAGCAAGACTCTGTCAAATCCACCCAGCACCTTAAGATGAAAAAAAAAAAAAGGACTTAGAAGGAAGTTTCTCTCTTGATTCTATCTGCTCTTGATTTGATCAGCTTAATAGCTGAAGACTAAACACTTACCTTGAAGTCTACCCTTCCCCACAGAGCAGAAGGCAAACCAGCTCCATCTGGTCCTCCCTGCCCTCCTCAGTAACCTGGGCATGAGCCCTGATCAGCAGGGGAAGGTTGAGGCAGCTGGCTCATAAAGAGTTGAGGCAGCTTTGCCCCTGACAGCTACCCCCACCCAGAAGGGAAAGGTGGCCCTCGTCCCAGAAGACACATCCGCAGCGGCAGCATACCTTAGGAAACTGGCGCCCGTCACAGTGGCTCACAACAGTGTTTGTGACTCCTAAGCGGTGCAAGTTTCCCACCACACTGTGCAAACGTTCCGCATTGCTGTCATTGGCTAGTATCACCCCTGTGTTCTTCATCAGCTGAGCTGCCGGGCAGAACAGAAAGGTGCGCGTCAGGCCTGCCTTTGCAGCAATGATGCAGCAACTCCCAAGAGGCTTCCATTCCTTCCACACAATATGCTGTTTTGGAGTTTCCTACACAGGCAAATCCTTCTCCTCCTTGCAAATGGAGAAGATTGCCTGCATTTCCTATAAAGTAGCCTTCTCTGTGGGCTACTCAGCACAGCTGTTAAACTCCTTAGACTGTCTTTAAAAAAAAGCTGGTTGAGGACATTTCTCCATTTCCTCTCTAAAGCCAGATATGACATTTAGTTCCCTCTAGGCTGCTAGTTATGAAACCTTAGCAACAACCAAGGCAACAAGGTTGGCAATGGTGTTTTTATGGCATTTGAAGTCTGGCTGGGGAATTTTGGGAGCTGAAGTCCACAAGGCTTAAAAGTTGCTGAGGTTGAAAAACACTGGTTTAGTAAACAAAATTGAGGGGCAAATAAACCCTACTTCCTATGAGAAATGCAGAGAACGAGGAGGATGATCAGGATATGCAGGCTTCATTACCAAAGCAACAAGAAGTGAAATATATCATGCGTCCACAATAGATAACATTTGGAAGAGATTTAGGTATTTCCCTTTTTCACAGGAGTATAAGGACATATGACATAAGATCTGCTCCCACTCTCCTATCCTTCCATAAGAGCTCTGCCAGTTGGCCTGGGGACCAAATGGATGATTCCACGTGGAGGCGGCTTCTGGATTGATGGCAATCTCCACCTCCACACTTGGTTATCATTTTGATGTATTATCCTTTTGTGTTCCTTTGTCATTGTTTATTTTATTGTTCTATTATTTTACTTATGTTCTGTTTGCGCTTTAATTTAAGAAAATAAATAAATATATTATCATTTTGTGTTCCTTTGTCATTGTTCTATTATTTTTACTTATGTTCTGTTTGCACTTTATTAAAGAAAATAAAAGCACAGACTTGCACAATTCTGTTATTATGGCCAATCTCAATCAAAGTAGTTTGAGATTTCCTATGAAGTTGATTGTCTGGTCTGGCTCACCTTGGGGGACTGACAACAAGTGGCCTCAAATGAGACAAAAAGTGAAATTGAAGAGATTAACCTAAACCTTGTTTGGGCTGGTTCATACCAAACAATTACCTCAGGACAGGGGGAAAGATTAAATTATGCATACTCTGAAGTGGACCATCAGAAGGAGCCTGCCTTTTAATGGAGAGCGTAGAGCAGCCTTACATGGTGAGCAGTCCCCAAAATGGGGGATTTGAACCCATTCTTCCCCAACAAGCATAAGTACCTATGTAACTGGTCTTGCCTCCTGGGGCACAGCACATGTCCAGAATGCGCTCATTCTCCTGAGGGGCCAGAGCCATAACAGGGAGAAGGCTGGAAGCACCTTGCAGCATGTAGTGTCCAGCTAAGTATTCTGGGGTGGCACCTAAAGTGGGGGGGGAAGGAAAGACCAAAGGGATAATAAATACAGGGAAAGCAATGGCAGAGTGCCTGTATAGAGGCTGGATTTGAGGGAGAAAGAGAAGAGGGATACCCACCGATAGGCACAGAGGAGTCATAAACAACAAGCCCGGTTTTTGACCACTTTCCTAATGGGTCTAAATTCACTCCACGGTTTATCAAGGCCTGCAACAAAAAGGAGGCGCTTTAACTCTTCCAATCATGGCAAAAGAAGAGAGGAAAAGGCTGGGGATGCTCAAATACACACCTGGGCTAAATCACGGCGTCTTGTCTTCAGTGTATTGGTGCGGAGGGTCACTGGCCGAGAGACCTCATTGGCTTCCAAGAATTCAACTAGCTAAAAGCAGGCAGAATGAAAGAATGGGAATTTTTCCTCATCAAGAAGCAGTGGTTACACACATTGTTTTTTCCCCATGGAGTAGAAGTAATTGAGCTGACACTTGCTTTAAAGAATACCGATCTATCAAAAGAGGTGAATGGGGCAACACTGAAAATCCTTTGTTCTTGTCAATTGATGCTATGCAAGAAACCAAGACCAGTTCTTAGTCCCCCAAGGATAATCTAAAGGCAAAAAGCATCTTGTCAGCCAGAGCTAATATTATGTGGGGAGAAGCTTTGATGGCAGGGAAGAGGAGGAATATTTACAATTTATACTGGAGTTCTTGCAGCAAGTAGATCGGCGCTAATGTTTGTGTGCACATTGATCTGCATGTCAATACAGTGAAACTTACAAAAGAAATGGAAGACTGAGAAAACGTTGGCACCAAAATAATTATCTACCAAGATTTCAGGTCTGTTGTTGACTGCACCACCAAATTTTTGTGTTTCTGACTAAAAATCTTTCTAGAGAAATAGTACCTCAGACAGAGGGAAGAGTTCTGTCATCTTTCCAATTAAGAAATCACTGTAAGAGTAATATGCAGCAAGATCCTGATGAAGAAGGGATAAATATTCCTGCCTTGAGCGTCCCTTCTCTCGCTTCGAACTGAAATCCTGAAGCACCTCCATATTATCTTTTATACGCTGATGAATGAGTTGGAGATCAGGAGGCTGAGCAGGTGAAAAGGAATTAAGGAACAACCACAAATGAAACTGTCTTATACCAAATCAGATAACTGATTTTACTAATAGCTTACTCAGCCTTTTCCAGAGATTATTGGTTCCATCAGCAACTTGTTCAGGCCTCCACAACAAGGGCACAAAACCTACCAAACCAGGGACCACAGGTTAGGATTACACAAATCCAAACCACCACTATCAGTTGACAGCAAAAATATCCTTTTGCAGTCCAGATTTGGTAATCCCAGTACTTAGCTTGGTCCCCTTGCACAAATATAAAAGTTACAAGTAAAGTACTTTGAATCCCCATAAGGCCACATTAGGGGTTGAAGCTTAATTTGCACTTTAAACGTTCATATTCTACCATCCAAATTACAAACTGGTTGCAAAAGTGTGTCATGCTAGCTCCATGCAAGATAGATTGTGGTTTATCACGACACACTGGAATCACACCACATTCATTTACTTATTACATATTTATCTCATTTAAAAACAAATCCTAAAATGGAAATGAGACGTTTCAGAGAGGTATTGATACTTAATCTCTCTTACAATAAAGCAATTCAGGACTGCCATCCTTTTATGGAAAGTTTAACAGAGTATTAAGGGGTCTGTATGAATTCACCATATAGACCCTATAATCAAATGTTTCCTAACCTTGGCAATTTTGACCTGTGGACTTCAACTCGCAGAATTCCCCATGCAGCCATGCTGGGGAATTCTGGGAGCTGAAGTCCACGGGTTTAAAGTTGCCATGGTTGGGAAACCTTGCCTGTAACAAAGCCGTGCCATACAAAGGGATCTCTTTCCCTAGAAAAAGACCCAGGGGGACACACAGAGCAACTCTGGACAACCCCCTTAATATTCTCTGGGTCCACCAGAATAAGGATATCTTCCTTCTCTATCTCCTGCCCACTGGGAAGCACGAAGCACTCCTCTGCCTCCACGTTGAGCTTCAGGTTAGTGTCCTTTTCTTCCTCTTGCTCTGTCCTCTGCTTGGACGGTGGTGTCTCCTCCTCACTGTCATCCTCACTGATGTCCTCCCTGCAATCCAGAAGAAAGTCGTTTTGCAAGGGGACTCACAGAGGAGGAGAAAAATTGGATCCGTTGTAAGGGGGAAAGGCTCAGCAATTCCCCCCAAATCAAAATATTCTGGATCACTCACCCTTCCGTCTTTTGTTTTCGAGCAGCTCGTTCTATAGGCAGGAGCTGAATGTAAAAGCACACAAAGAACCACTTAATCAAAGGCCAGGAGTATCCTTTCTCCCCACCCACCCACTCTGAATAATGAGATCGACAATATAGAGGAAGTACATTAACATCGACTTTATTTAATTAGATCCAGAAGGCTTCCCGACTCTGGGTGGTCTTAGAGCAGGGTCCCCAATCCCCAAGCCGCGGCCCATTAGGAAACAGGCCATGCAAGTGAGTGAAGCTTTTTTTTGCACATGCACAAGATCGAGGTAGCATGTGAACATCCCCCCCACCCCCCCAGTCCATGGAAAAAATATTTTCCATAGATCTGGATTCTGGTGCCCAAAAGGTTGGGGACCATTGCCTCATAGAATCCCATCTGTGGGTGTTTTTATAAAATATGTACTCATTCTGTGAATGCAGCTACCTTTTAATAAATTGTAATGGTGCCACTAGAACAGAGTAGAACCAGTCACACACACAAAAAAAAAATAGGAGTAGGAAATCCTGATAAAAATGATTTCATTAAACTTCAAAAGAAATTGCTTCAAGGTGCTGCAGCAGACCATCCTATTTCAGTGGAAGCGCTTTCCCCTGGGGCTATAATACTGGGGAAATGTATGGGGGGGAGGAGGTGGAAGGAGGGAGGAAGGAAGGAGCAAGATTAAAGTGACTATTGTTTTCCATTATTACTGAATAAGGGTCAAAGCAAACATGTGGAAAAGCTAGGAAGCAAATAAATAAAATAAACTTCCCACCACCCTTGGAAAGCCATCATGACATCTCTTGCAGAACACTTAAAACTGACAGTTTCTGCTCAGTAACAAAATCCTAGGCAGCAGACAAACGTCTTCTTCAACCTTAGGTTTTCTTGGTCATATGGGCAGATCCCCACAGTTGGTCTTAATAACTAAGTTAAATAAAAAACATACATTTCCTAGCATATTCTTTTTATATTGATAGCCCACCTGCTTTGAAATCTTAGATTACAGTGCATCCCAACATAAAATATGGGGTTCTAAATCAGGGACAAAATGGCCCAAGAGACAGAGTAGAGACACAAAATTCAATTAGGAGACAATGACACAAGAATTTCCACCTTAATAAGTAAGAAATATTTCCATCTATCCGAGTAACAGCCACCAAAAAGCATTGTTGCTAAATATTCTTACCTCTTCATCACTAGAGGAAGCAACTCCATGGTCATCCATAATCTCATCCTCACTTAGATCATCTTCATCGCTGAAAGCCATGCTTTCTTCTTTGTCTTCTTTGCTCTCTTCAGTCCTGGATCTTTTCTTCCTTAAGGCAGGGGAAGCGAGCTGCGTGGCAGCATCAGTGCTACCGTTAGTTGCACCGTTCTCTGGAGAACTTTTCCCCTTGTTTGCCAACTTGAGTGTTTTCCTTTTAGCTGCCAAGAAAGACAATGCAACACTGTGAAACAACTAAGGTGCAATGAATTGTCTGCCCTGGCACACTTTAGAGCAAAGTTCTTCACCTCATGTGGATTGGGAAATAATGAACACTGTAATTCATGAGAAAGATGGTGAAGGTCAGATGAGGTTGGCGGGGCCAATGAAGGCAGGGTAGCTGGGCTGTCAGAAGGCAGGGAAGAATGAAGGGTACGCTTAGAGGAGAGCTAGGCAGATGAAGGGAATTGAAGAGGAGACATTTTGTCCCTTATATTACTGAGGCTTGGGGCTGGGAGGGACCAAGCCAGGACCAAGATTGAAGTGGGTCCTCGCCTAACAACCAGCAGGATTCAGTTAACAATAGCAACAAAGAATACTGGGATTGCTGTTGCTGTGTGATGCAGTCACATTTCCAAGCAAATCAATGCCAGCAGGGCAGTAACTGAATCCAATTCGACTACATCTCAACCATTCCTATTTTCGTCTTTTGTGCTTAACTGAGGAATCCTGATCCATCTTTAACCAACAATTGTTATGTCCTGCTTAATGTATGTGCCACTGAACTTTCATTTGGACTAAGATTACAGAGGTCAAGTGATCAATCTTGCTAAAGTTCTGCTGATTAGTTGAATAGAATTGCTAAATATCCTTTAGTCTGAAGGTGGTAAGCAAATAGGAGTACCAAAGTGGTACAAAAGTAGCTTTCATTTACCAAACTTACATCTAAGAATGTTGAGCATTATAAAATTTGTCAAAGCGCTAATAGCACAGTGGTTTGAAATCTTTTTTGCATCTGTTGAGTACAGAACTCTTGGTTATTCTTATGAGGGTGGGGAGGAAGCTTTCTAAAGAGATTTAGAAATGACACAGAATGAGCCTCTGAGTTCCTGGGGTCGAGCGACTGACAGGAACGGACTGTAATAAGTTGATGTTGGGCCTGAAGGAAGAAAAGAACAGATCCCATCCTCATTTTGTCTACTGTACACCGTCCCACTAGAACCCAGCTTCTGAATACTAGCCAGCGAAGGGGAATATCCTTCCTAGTCTCCTGAATTAACACAAAAGAAATGAACAACAGTTACTCAGTGGCTTAGCATTCTAGATGTTTTAATATAGTCAGCATATATAGGAGCCTCTGTGGCGCAGTGGTTAGAGTGCAGTATTGCAAACTACTTCTGCAGCCAGCTGCCTACATTGGCAGTTCAAATCCCACCAGGCTCAAGGTTGACTCAGCCTTCCATCCTTCCGAGATGGGTAAAATGAGGACCCAAATTGTTGGGGGCAATATGCTGACTCTGTAAACTGCTTAGAGAGGGCTGTAAAGCACTATAAAGCGGTATATAAGTCTAAATGCTATTGCTATATGCTACTGGTAAGTATGGAAACTAAAGACCTTTATATCTGGATGATACAAGTCGGGGAAGCACATTGCTGCTCTACATCCATCAATCCTAAACCCTGAATAGTAATAGCTCCAATTAACCTGCCTAAATAAGTTAAATGATAAATATTCTTTCAATGTACCTGTCACATTTTGGTGATTGGGGACATTCTTGTTCATCTGCAGTTTCTCAGATTTAATCCGTCTTTTTGCAGCTCTAAAATGAAATAGAAGAATGAATAAAAAGCTACTACATCCAAGACAGTAAAAATAAGGAACATGAATTTAACACTCTGAGTAAATACATTTAAAGTGATTAATGAGCAAAACAACAGTTTGAGAACAAAAAAATAGGTTGGTTCTCCCTTATTGCTGTTTTAAATTCTTCACATTTACTATAAATAAGTGGATCTGATTATTTCAGAAAATTGGGTCAACTGTTGCTAAAAAGCCTAATAATAAAGCTGGGTTGAATGAAAAGCAACACCTCCAATGTTATAGGTCATCAGTAGGTGGCAATATTGATGCATTGCAAGCTCTGAGGTTTTTTTTTTATTTTTAAGAATTCTTTCACTTCATTTGGTGGGAAGTTACTGTGAGAAAATGTTATTTGGCTACTGTTTGTGAAATGGAAACCTTGACATCAATGAATACTTGACAGTGCAAGGCACTATGATTGAATTTTTGACTACCCAAAAAGTCTCTCCAATTGAAATTCCACAACCATATGCAGATTGTTTATCATAACTATTCTGACATGAGTACAGTGCATTATTGGCAAAAAAAATCTAAAGATGATGATATCTAAAAAGAGCTGATTTGTATGATCAAGTACAAATGTAGAAACCAACAGGTTCTACACGAGAAAGGATGATGAATTGATGAAGGACTGGCATATTGCTCAAAGGGAAGTTGCTGCTAAATTTGGTATTTCACAGAAAGGTTTGGATCACATTATATGATGTTCTTCAAGAGTTATATGATATATTATATGATATCTTCAAGAGTTTAAATCTGCCAGCAATTTTTATCACATGAGACTCTTTCTGCAATTGCTGTCACATCATGAGGGGTTTCTTCATTGCACTGTCAATGCAATGAAACATGGGCTCATCATTATGACCCAGAAATGAAACATTAGTCTATGAATATAGTCAAAATGCTTCACCTGAGGGGAAAAATTAATATGAACAGAAATATGCAGCAAATGGTAATTATATGCAGAAATAAAAATAGGTAACAAAGAGCTAATCTCAAAGATTTTGTCTGTTTTATTTATTAAAATACCTATGTAGAGTTATAGAGATGAAGGCATTACTTTTCATTCAGCCCTTATATCACAGCTAACAATATGCTTTCCTAATAATTTTGAAGTTATCTGTAAAACTACAAAAGCTCAGGTAAAACTGCAGATACATGTATTGCAAAGCTATATAAAATTGAATAGCATAAAAGATCAAATTTAATCTTATGGTTTGCTCTGAGCACTGATCAATCACTACCTGAGATTTAGAGGATGTGCTGTTAAGTGCCTAGTAACTTAGAATTAATTTCTAATGCTAACCTACACAGTTCAGCAAAAATAAGAACTATATGGTTCAGGGACAAATAATAACTTAGCATTAAAAAAACAAGACTAAATATGTCACTACTGACATCTCATTGAAAATGTCCTAGCAATAAGTGCCAGATGTTATGCACTAAATTGTAAATATTTATACTTGTTTTTATATCTTCAAAGATACTATGACCAAATGCAGAGTTGATGAAACCCTTCATGACATTCCATACTTTTTGTAATACAAGATTTTTGTCCCGCCTAGAAAAAAGCCTCCTTCTGCATGCTGAGGAAGTGGGAAGAGCAAAGTAAACTAACCAGGTTCCCCACTCAAAGTTTGGGAGGTCTGCATGGGAAGCTGAGAATCTAGATGGCCAAATACTTCAGGACATTAATGCACAATATGGAATTTAAAAATAATAAGTATTACCAGTATATAAAATCCAATTATCAGCTAAAATATTTTTACCAATAGGCATGCATATTAAAACAGACACTATTATGAAATGTTTTAATATAAACTAACCTTCGTCGGGCATGAGTGGAAAGTTTTGTTGCATTGTCATCAAGTGCTTGGAGAAAAACAAAACAAAACAAATCACAACATTTCAAGAAGGGAAAATCTTTGTAAGAAGTACAAAAAACTTCATGATATTTAAAGATCAACAAGTTTCTCAGGGTGTTTTGTACAAGTTTTCAGATCTTATGGGAAAGCTGGTACAAACAAATCTGAATTTGACAGAACAGTGAAATTAGACTTTTAATGCCAACAACAAACTTTTTTAAAAAGCTACAAACTACTAAATGCACTTCTATGGAAAATTAGAACCGAAAGATCCTACTGCCTCAAGTCCTCCACTTAAAATAGAAAACATCTGCTAAAGACTCAGGTATTTTGTCTTCCATTCTTCTATTCAAAATATTGGGGCCTTTCATAATGAAGGATATATGGCATCTGCAGTTTGGTGCAGTTGTCATGTAATTGATTATATACTGAATCTGATTTTTATGAAGCAACAAATGTGCATCAAATGGTTCATCCAACTTTACAGCAAGAAAATGAAGTATCTTGCTCCTGATTCAGTAAGATATATGGTTTTGGTAAATAATATAGTCTGATTTCCATGCCTCTTCCTCCCCAGTACAAAATTAATTATATACACATACAAAAGAAAACACTTTCCCTCATAACTTTTTGAATTGCCTTTTTCTTTTTTTTACATTAACAAAAATTTGGGTCTTTTGTTCACGCAAACACACAAAGGAGAACAAGCGGGAAGTTTACCTAATTCTCAGTAGAAACATGTCAACAAATGTTTTCAAGTACTGTACTACAAACAGCCCCAGAATTCTTACAACTAGCCTAAAAGGAAAGCAGAGACATTGCTTCATTACATGAAATAGTGTTTTAAGTTCAGTGCCCTGCCCAAAGCCAACTCTGCACTAGAGATCTGAGATTTGAAAACAGTATATCCTTAATAGGTATGGAACAATATCAGAAACATGAATCTGACCTCAGACTAAGCACACCAACAGGCAAAATTCTGAATACTTAAATCACTTAAATCATATACAGGAAAAAGAGCTCATAAAATCAAGTTGCTGGTGGAGTGCAGGAATGGCACTATGGCAAAAAAAGGCTGAGCTTTATGTACTGTAATGTGCTATCTACCAAAGAATCATCCAACTCAATCTTCATTCTTAAAAACTGGAAGCTAGGGGGAAGAACTGAAACCTGTTTTGTTTGATCTACGTGCCCAGCCCTGAGAGTAAAATCAGGATTCCGCTAGCAGTTTTTCCAACTAACGAATTTTAGCAAAAGCAGAAACTTTTGTGAGTTGTAGCTCACTTCATCCAATGCATAAAAAGGCTAAGCTGATAAATTGGGGCGAGGCCATGGACGGGATTAAAAAGAAGTTGCTTAGGTAAATGTGATCAAAACCACTGCTGAAATCATCTGATTGCCAGAAACCCTTACATAAGTTCAGCAAATTTTTTTCTAAATAATGAAATTAAAGTCTTGCTCTCCCCCCCCACCCCCCCAAAAAACAGTCACTTTGAGACCTGCTATAAATGCACCCTGAGAGGCTGATATGCCCTGCCTGATATTACCTTGTCTCTGTTTTGAGCCCAGATCTCAAATGTGTGCCTATAAATTCTTAGACCACAACTCAAAACAAGGACAAATTAATATCAAGGTATCTCAGCAAATCTCAAAGTGACTCTTGGAAAAGCAGAACTTTGAACGCACCATCTACTGAGAAATTGTGGGATTTCAAAAGAAGAGAAGATATGCAGCTCAGGATTGAATTGTGGAGTCCTTG